CCACACCCCCCCCCCCCCCCCCCCCAGGAAGATTCTATTCCAAGGAGTTTGTTAAAAATCGATGAAGTTTATATTCTCGTCTGAGGCACGAACCTAGAATGCTTTTACAGCAAGGAATATCACCGTAACTTTTACGCTTTTTCAGAATATCCCCTCATGGCCCAGGCTTCAAATTAAATAACTCCCTTATGTAAGACGGACGCGGGGGAGAGCAAGAATCACGAAACCTCCCCTTGTCAGTCACAGCCTATCCAGTTGACTATTGTCTGCGCTCGCCTCATTAATATTTAACACAATATAGTCGTTTCATACACTACACGAATTCTCTTCGAACGTTCTATTATATTTGTCGAGAGCTGCTAATTTGCAGAGCAGTCAATCATCAATGGAGCAGCTGTTACATGGATATGAACTCACCCTATCATTGTTTCGCTTCCTTGCGGAATGGTGGTATAATTTCAAGGGGCCTTACGTATACTTTGTCATAATACACATCCTGCCTACTATGTATTTCCGTTAACGTGGCTAGTTGTTTGCTGTTTTGTTTCTAATATTCCGTCCCCATAAAATATGCTGAGACAGTGTACTATGTCTGTTCGTCCCTGTGTACGCATGTCTTAAGTTCGGATGTCCTTATCGGATTTATGTGACGTTTGGTATTGGCAAGTCTGCACTGAATATTGTAGAGTAAATTTCAGTTCGGTCCATATCGGATAAATGTAAACTCATCGCCTATTTTACAATATAAAATAAAGTCTAATTTTGTCCATTTTATCAAAGATATATGACATACAATTCAGATCTCATTAATATCTACGACTTTTACATAAAAATGACGAATGACATGTTACATATTTAATGGGAATTCACGAGGAATAATTAACCACATACAAATTCATATCAACGTTATTCATCCTACCTGCAACAAATCCGAAATAAATTAATACCAAGCTCAGTGAAGTATGATACATCGCAACGAAAGCACTAGAGACGCAGTTGAAAATTACATCATAAACTACTTTGTGTACAACATTAATTAATCACAGTTACGTACGATAGGACGTAAATTAAAGATTATTTTCAACATTTTTGACATTACAGTCTGATTCTGTTCGACATCGACAATCACGAAAATGTCAGTGTTTGGGGGCTACGGCGTGCGAGAAGCAAATTGTACCTGGCATAATCGGGGCATATTCAGATAGACAGAAAATTTTTCCGATAAAATCAATATTTATTTTAATACTGATTTCTGTTAAGTTTCATTACAGGCTATTATAAAAATTTAGGAGGCATTGAATTTCCACGACAGTGCAGCTGATATGTTGTTAATATACGCTGCCGGACTCTGAGAATAACTTAACATAGTTTAAATCAAATTTCTGTAAAATATTAATTTAAGTAAAGGAAATAATAAAGAACGCCAATCATAGTTGACGCGAAGTCCGAGGTGTGGCCTGATAGCTCTAACACGGAAGTCTGGGTTCAAATCTCATTGATTTCTACCTAATGCCGAAAATGTTTCGAAAATCTGTCATATTAAAATTTTTCCAGAAAGGTCAACTCGCCTATACGCAGGAGTAGAAAATAACAAAGACTACCCTCAATATCATCTTTGCCGGCGGGAAGCTGGAAGGATCCCACTACACCATGTTTCCAGAAACTTGTGAGATTCAGTTAGACAGATATTAAGTGTGGCAAAATACATGTTTCTGCTTACTGCTGTCCTTTTCTAAGCCCCGCGTTTCTGAAAGCCTATTAGCTATTACTAGTTGCTTAGCAACAGACGGGAAGTAGAATGCAAGACAGGATGAGTGAATAATACGCCACAGAGCGTCTAGATCTAGAATTCTGAGACCTCATATTCTTGACAGACGTTCTTCCACAATTTATCCTTCACTCATATCTGTCGATGATCACTAATTAACCATTTGACTGACGAACTCGCTCATTAAACATCGAAGCAACAGATCTAAACATTCAGCGGAATGATTTTCACTAACTTGCTGTCTCTAGGGGACTATTTATCCAAGTGGCTGACTGATTACAGAACAACCTACCATCACGAACATAAACAAAAAAAAAAACACTACCAAGTCTACTGTTCCTGTTAGTAGTACTATATATTGTTTTAAATATGTCACTATACAAATTAAAGCTGCCAGGTTGGAGTGATTTATACGAGCAAACATTTCCCCTCAGAATTTAATTTTCTAAAATATACTTTAATAAAATATATTATCTATCTTTATTGAATACACAGACGTTTAAAGACCTTACACCGGATGGCGCCAGAATTTGTTCAATCTCGTGAGTTTGTTTGGCTGCCGTGTCGGTAGATTTTATGGGAAAAGACAGGATATTAAGAAATCCTGAAACAGGGTTTCGTACAATGGCACGAATTCCTCCATACCGTTTCACAAAAAAGTAAAATAATGTGCATCAAACCGCGGTTCGTAACGGAATTTTGGGACTGACATTCACACTGAGCCCATGGATGAAACCACTCACTTCCTCTAGAACTGATGGGCCACGTTTTGTTCCCCAGTAACAGATTGTTACTTCGTTATTGAAGTTGGGGCCGACGGTCGACTGTGTGCGTGGTGGGGACGGCGAGTAACAGTGAGACAAGGAGAGAAGTGGGTTTTCGACCCATCATCCATTACCCAACAAGTTGCTGTCGGTGACGGACGTACAACTTGCACTCGCTGGCTTCGCTGTTTTCATCCGTCCGGTACATTGATTTCGCATCGTATCGGAAGGGCACATAACATATACGACGATGTTTATCCATTTTATAAAAGCGTACTTTTGTTAATACTACTTGTTGATATCGGACGTCGTAGGAAGTGGCAACAGACATGGACTTACGAACGGAGGCTTTATAAATTGTGTCACAAGTGAAATGTTTCAGGATCGTTCTGACCTGTGAGTATATTTATAATTATATTGTTCCACATTTTACTTTATAATTATGTACAATACTGTAGTACACAGTAGAATATCTGGACCTCGGAGGTATGCAGGGACGGGAGGCTGGATGAAGATGTATAACGAGGAGCTTCATAATTTCAACGTCACCAAATATTATTGGAGTAATAAAATCATGAAGGAGAAAAGATGAGTGTCATTTCGCACGCGTGGGGAGATGAGATATGAGTAGAAATTTTTAGTTGAAAAAACTGAAGGGAAGAGACCGGGGAGATGAGATATGAGTAGAAATTTTTCAGTTGAAAAAACTAGGTATGTAGGATAATATTAAAATGTAATTCAAAGTTGATTAAATGATATGAGGTTATGAAGTGGATTCATGTGACTCAGGATCGAGTCCAGTTGCGGGTTCCATAAAAGACGGATAAATTAACAGCCGAGAGATAATTAGCTTCTAAACGAGGATTCTGTTCCGTGAAGTTGACTAATTTTATTATAGAAGCACAATGTGACTGAGTAGCAGCAGATTGAATTCGATAATTCAGCTTCAATTGAAATATTTCATTGTAGGTGATAGTGCTGTTACCACTCGTTCAGATATGAATTAAATATAGCCAACAAAGAAATCGAAAATTAAATCTACGTACTGTTGAAACTGCTGCACATTTCAGTTTCCCTTTATTTCAACTAGTGTAACAGACATGAGTAAATACTAGTCATAACTTATTTACGCTTCTGGGGAAGTGGCGTGATTACAGTTCCATTTCGAAATTCAGCTGTAAAAATTCCTAGAATCATTTCCGAATGAATTACGAATTCACAATAGGCACTGCGTAAATGCCTAGTTTCTATATGAAGTGTGTATGAGAATATTCAGTCAGTGAGGACGTGAATCGGATTCATGAGGCTCAGAAAAGGGACTGCGAACTCAATTATGATAATTCTGGTTCAATAAAATGTGGAAAATTTCTCGACTAGCTGAGCGACTGCTATATTTTCAAAAAGGTTATGTTCCGTAGAGTTAGTTCTTACAATATAATCCTTTCACCTAGTCACAAGACTGCATCTGCAAAATATGAACATCAACTTGTAAACAACACGTTATAAAAATATGTGTATTCCAATTGCACACAAAACTAGAGTTCAAATTCGCATTCTTGATAACTCTGATTAGCTAATCTACAAATTTTTGAGGTTAAGATATTATGTATATGTTATAGAAACTTTTGCTGTACCTTATTTCACCCACGCAAAGTATGCATAGACCCCAACCTCTGTAAATTATGAGTTTAAAACGGGGGCGAATAATGCCAACTTAGGCGTATAAATCTTAAGATACCACGAACATTTCACTGGATAAATTTGCCACTATCTTACACAGGTCATGAAGGGCCATCTCATGAAAATGATGCCTTGAAAATGGCAGCAGTTGTCTGCGGAGTGCGCAGATGAGATGAAGCAAGGAATGGATTGGGCTATAGTAGTCAGCAGTGTCACGGCTTTTGTCATGTACTGCAACACCTGGGACTCGGGCTTTGTCTACGATGACAAGTAAGTACTCTGCCTTCACGTAATCCTAGTGACACTCATCAACGATGTAAGATACAATTTTCAACTGTTGTAAGGTGCTATTCTCCTAATTATAATCTCTCTATATTGTGGAGAATATAGTTACATAGCTACATAAATAGTTAACGAACTACCTAAATATATATTTAAATACATAGTTAAATCAATAGTTAGATAAAAAAGTGCTTGGTTTACATTGTGTGTATCATCGAAATTATTCCCGCCTTTTATAGAACCAGAAATTTCATTGCCGCGATCACAAAAGACTGCAACTGGACCGTATTCAGAGGCAGACGTAAATTAAAACGCAATGAAAATTATGTTTTCTTAGGGTGATGAATTATCGTCATCCATCCCAGCCCAGAAGCTGAAGGGCCACTCCTTGTCTGATCTCCGCTACCCAGTATTCAATATGTACTCAAGCTACCCCCAATATCTGGATGCCACCTCCTCTGTCCGTAATCTCATAGGGGACGCCATACCGTGGCGACAAGGGATGTTTAATATGTTTATGTAACTTGAAATATTACCACTTTAGATGTAAAAGACCTTGGGGTGTGCCGAGTTGATTATGGGTACGAAAAAATTCTGCAAACAAATGGATGTCAAATCTGCAGCAAGAAACTGTGGCCACTTACGCGCCAGACCATGAAGAAAGAGTATTTCAAAACGAGGAAGCTAACACTTGCAGAGTACAAAGGAAAATCCATTAAGTAAAAAAAAAACCTTAAACTGACCACGAGTCCAGTATGAAATGTGTGTAGTGTTCAGAAGAATACAGTTAAGTCAAACGTACAGCGTAACAGTGCTCGTCATTATTAGGCAAAGCACGTAATTTCAGCTGCGTCCTGTATTTTCTATACGAAGTAAAATCTTTGAGGTCCACGTTCTTCAGACACAAGGTATACCTTGTGAGAGACCACGGCACAGCCGAGTCACGCAGCTGCGACCCGTGTTACAGCCGCGCAATCCTCTCCAACGACGACGTGTTACCGCAGACCCCTTTGCTGGACCTGCTCCGTCGCGACTTCTGGGGCACACCTCTGGAGCACAGCGGTTCGCACGGTTCCTACCGGCCGCTTGCCGTACTGTCCTTCCGCCTCAACGTGCTACTGGCAGGTGGACACGTGGGCCACGGGAGGGCACGAGGCTTCCACGTGTTCAACACCTTGCTTCATACTGCCGCCACAGCGGCTTTCACCCGGTGGGTTCGAGTCTTGACGTCTCATCGGCGCAGAGTCCTGACACCCTGGGTCTCTGGGATGCTGTTCGCTGTGCACCCGGTCCACACCGAGGCAGTCGCAGGAATTGTTGGTAAATATCACATTTTTAGAGCTCTCTTAGTATACTTTAATTCGACCACACACACGCCTACAGTTCCTACTGATTCCATGAAACAGAATTATTCCCGAGAAGCTAGTAGTCGCTCATCTATAAATGCCCCAGTTCTTATGAAACTCGAAGGTTTCTTAATACGTTCACAAATTTCAGTCAAACCCTTCTCTCCCATTTTAAATTACACATTTTAATCTCCCAGCAAAATTATCTAAATACTTACAAGTTACAGGCATCATTAATACAATCTTTAAACCCTCTAAAACCCCAAAACAAACTAGATTGAAAATACATACCAACACTTCTTTACGGATGCGAAACCTGGGTAATGAAACAACGCGACAAATCAAGAATTGTAGGAGCATAAATGAAGTTTTTAAGAAAAACAGCCAAATACACATGGAGAGATCATAAAATAAATGACGTTATCCACAAAGAACTACAAACAGAGCCAATATTGGAAAAAATCCACGGATACGAAAGGAACTGGATCCAACATGTACAAAGAATGGACAAGGAGAGATTGCCAAATCAAATTTTGAAACATAAACCAATAGGAAAAAGAAACAAAAGACGCCCTTTAAAAATATTCCTGGGTGACTGAGGCCGGAACGGGTCACAAGACCCAAAATCCTTGACAGCTAAATGATGATGATTATCTTAATATTACCTTTTATTTGACACACAGGTCTTCCACAGCGCCATCTTTATTTTTTAAGGTTTTTATTAAAAATTTCTTCTTGTCTCTCCATCTACTTCATGCGCGTTACATTCTCTGCTCATCCCATCATCCTAGATTTTATTACATAAATGATATTTGCTAAATAATAAATTGTGAAGCTCCTCAATATGCAATTTCTCCAATCTCTTCAAAGTTTTACTGCAGAAACTATCACGGAAACAGAGAAAAGAGTGACGATGCTAACGGTAATGTCAAGGGAGATGTTAGCGTAGCACTTCATGAATTCCAAATATACGTTTTACATTGCTGCATAAGTTTTAACTCCTCCTAATGGGCGGACATCCTGTAATATGGAGTCAAAGTAGAAGTAACAATAATAATGCGGTTACGAACACCCTGTATCTTTATCTCCTCTCAGCTTACGATCACGTCTGTTGACAGGTCGGGCAGACGTTGGTGCCTCTCTGTTCTTCACTCTGTCTCTCCTGTTGTACCACGAGTACGTCACGAACCGTAACACCCTGTACCTGGCAGCCAACCTACTTATGGGGGTATGCGCCATGTTCACCAAGGAACAGGGCGTCACCGTATTTGCTGTCTGCATGGCGTACGAACTGGTGGCCCACTCGTCGCGGGGGCCCTGCACGACGCTTCGGGCCCTATTCGGGAGGTCTCATAGAACACTCACCAAGACAGAAGAGGTGAGACATCATCGACACAGACTACATGCTTAATCGATTAGTGTCAGGCCTACTGTAAAGACTGATTTATTAATAGATGCATGTGGTCACTGAGTGCGCTGTATCACCGACAGAATGACAAATGATAAACTTTATAACCGCATTCCGCAGTTCGATTTACTGAATATTATTCAGTAATAGTTAAGTAATTTATACATACGTAAGACCTCCCTGTCTGAATCCTCTCTCGGCTCAAATGTACGTGTATACTAAACTCCACCGTGTAAGAGAGTAAAACCTCTAATATGAAATTTTAATCTTACTTTCACCGAGATGTATCTGCCTCGCTCCCTACCTTCCAGTTTGCTAAGTACCTTCTTGCACTCACAACTCAACATCGGGGGAGTAAACGAAAATGCGTAAGGTCACTGGTAAGACACCTCAGACTTACAGCACAGCTAACGCAAAAGTGTGTCACTAGGTCAGATCCGTAAATATATAATTATGTGGGACCGCTTGCCGAGAGGCGTCGAAATAACTCCCTAAAACTACTCAAATTCAGATTCCCTTCAGATCTCAATGTTTTCATTAACAGACTGACAACAACTCGATCGCTTGTGTGAACTTGTGAACCTGTTTCGCGTTGTTGCAGGACGCCCGAAGCACTCGAAGGCTGCTGACTCTGGCAGTTGGTTCGATTCTCAGCGTTGGTCTCCGCACGTGGCTTACAGGAAGTCGTCTCCCTACGTTCGCCGCCGCAGACAATCCTGCTTCTCGCTGCAGCTCCTTCCTTACCCGCGCATTCACCTTCTTCTACTTGCCCGCCTTCAACTTTGGCCTTCTTCTGTATCCGTCCACTTTAAGCTTCGATTGGTCTATGGATTCAATTCCTCTGATCACTCACGTCCTTGACTTTCGTAATGTGATCAGCTTCGTGTTTTACAGTGCCTTAATATGGTCCACTTATAAGCATATTATTTACCTTAACTGCATTACAATGCATAACCAAAAACAAGAGACAGTTTTAAAAAGTGTATCTACTTCTATAGTAGATGTCAGCTGCAGTAATGGAGGTGCGGTCTGCAAGCAATTTGGGTCTGAGGTTCAACGTCGCCCAGCTATGAATCTCTTGCTAGTTTTCCGTCATGGACTAGAAATATTCAGTTCGTGGCCGCGGTGTTTAAACTCAGAGTCAGTATCCAAGAATTACAATGCTCCATTCCATCATCTGAATCGTGACTCTTATTCATCGCACTGTCTGTGTACAACCATTTCAAAATCAACTGCAAATAAGCCAAAGAATGTCGAAGACAACTTCGTGAGGCGACAAGACAGTATTGTGGTGACGGTGGGTGTCGCCATGATGGTGATACCATTCATTCCTGCCAGCAACTTGGTGGCTTATGTAGGTTTTGTTGTAGCAGAACGCGTTTTATACATTCCGTCTCTTGGATTTTGTCTCCTCGTAGGACATGGTTTCGTCATACTTTTGGAAAAACTTGGCGACAAGCGTTCTCGAAAGAATGTAGCGTTCTTGTTAACGATGACATTAATTCTCATCCTGATTGCACTAGCAGGAAGGACTATTGTTCGAAATCGGGACTGGAAAAGTGAAGAAGACCTGTACCGCTCCGGAATATCAGTGAACCCAGCTAAAGGTAAGTACTTTGCTTCGTTAAAAAATAAATTACAGTATTTCTTTCTAATATTAAATAACAAGAAATTATTCTCTCAACAAAACTTCGGAACCGTAATGCACAAGGATAACTTTGCTACTACTTATGGCCATAGCATCTACAGTAAAAATATATTAATATAATAGTCATAGCCAATCGTGAACACGACTGCTTACGTCACACTTATTTTGTTTCGTTCTGACGGACAGCTTACGGGAACCTGGGCAACATCCTGAGTGTCAAGGGTCAATACGAGGAAGCCGAGGCCTGTTACAGAAAGGCTCTTCTATATCGTCCCAATATGGCCGACGTCCATTACAACCTGTAAGTCCAGCGAGTCAGTCCTCGCAGTTCCTAAAGTATCTGACCGACACTTTTATGTGTTAATCTGTCCAAACGAAAATCGAATAACAACTTTAAACAAGCCACGACAGCTTCTTTCAAAATTGTTATCTTCTACGCAGTATTCATTATAATCTTCCCACTGTTTCTACAGGTAAAATAGGGCCAGTAAGAATTAAGAACCCCTTCTTTTGTATTTGTTTTGTTAACTTCGTAAGTTCAGTTCTACAGGGTTTAATGATGTGTTGTAAGGACGTGGAATGAAGCAGTCATGACATGATCTTAGTTAGAGGACATGAAAATCAAGAAGACCTCTGGTTAACCGATTTGATGATCTAATTTACATTCTCGATCATATATAATATGAATGTAAAGTAACTATTTAAAAGAAATTGTTAGCTGGTAAACCAACGGAATGCAGACCTACACATGCCACTGACCAAACTTTTGCTTCAAATTCTTCGGTTGGCGTACGTCTATACCTATAGCCTGATCAATATCAATTACAATACAATAAACGTAATAAACAGTAATTATTGATATCGGCGTTTTACATTACAGTGGCATTCTCCTGCAAAGCCATCAGCGATTTGATGAATCAATGCACGAGTACTGGGTGGCCATTCAGCATAGACCACGGTTAGCAGGTAAGATCTAGTTATATCACAGATGGAGGGAAAACCTGAAGGAAAGAACTAGATATAGACGGAAGGGTAATATTAAAATTAACCTTAAAATATGATGGGAGGGTGTGAAGTGGATTCATGTGGTTCACCTCATTTGTCGCTGGACAAATTCTGATAAAACATCGTTAAATAACCAACAAACTAAGTAGTTTACTGTTGAACCTGCAATGTTGTTTCGTAGTTTCTTGCATCAAAGTGCTTAAATTAATTTGGTAGTGGCTCATCTGAACTTGGGACTTCTGCTTGGTCGTGTTGGGAGAGTAGCCGAGGCGAAGATTGTGTTGCGGGTCTGCGCGGGCCTAGACAACACGGGGCTGAGGGATCCACGAACACATCGCACGGCCACGGTCGCCTGTCTCTTCCACCTGGGCCGTCTCGCTATGGAACAAGGAAGACTCCACGAAGCCGTGGACGTGTTCTTCGAGGCAGTGAACAAGAGGCCAGACTTCTACCCTCCGCAGGTAAATTTTACTTTCATCTGGGATATAGTACGCTCTCGATTAGTGGGATGC